TACTCCCTCCGTCCCGTAATCAACTTCACAGTTTGACTTCACACATATTAAGGAAAGAAATTTACTGGGGGTAAATTTTACTGTTTTGACACTGTTTGAACACTGTTTAGACACTATTTGGCATTGTTTGACACTGTTTGGCACTGTTTTAATGCAGAGAATTTGCCAAATAAGGAAGTGGGAAGAAGTGGGAAGTTAATTTCGCGATTGCCCAAAAAGAAAAGTGAGATGTTGTTTACGGGACGGAGGGAGTATATTTTAAAAATATTTTTTTCTTAAATCAGTCAATGCATTCACTTTAGTCAGAACTTCATAAATCGACTAATAATTGAGTGGGATACTTTTCTCTCTAATATGTAGTACTTTTAGGGTAACTAGATCAGCACACTAATAATTAAACGGGGGCATTTTTAGGTATAAGATTAACTGACTAAGAATTGGACAGACAAATTTCGCATGTCATATATATATAATAATGCTTTTATATATAATATAAAAGCGGACTATTAATTGAACGAGAGAATTTCTCTCTTATATGTAGTCCTTTTTAAGCATAAGGTAATCGGACTAATAATTGAGCGGGAAAATTTTCTGTCTCATATGTAGTACTTTTTAGGTATACGATAAGCGGACTAATAATTTATGAACGAGATAATTTTCTCTATCATGTGTAATGCATTTTTGTTCTACTAATAATTGAGCGGAAAAAATTTCTATCTCATATGTAGTGCTTTTAGTTATAAGAAGATGAGCAAATTAATAATTGAGTGGAAAAATTTTAAATCTCATATGTAGTGCTTTTAGTTATAGGAAGATAAACGGACTAATAATATTGGTGTATGAATGATAATAAAAAATTGTAAATTGTGATATACACACACACACATTTCTGTCTCATATGTAGTACTTTTTAGGTATACAATAAGCGGACTCATAATTGAGCGAGAGAACTTTCTCAATCATGTGTAATGCTTTTTTTTTTTGGATGAAATGTAAATATATATTAACACCCAAGCAAAAATAACATGTACAATGTGTCCACAACGCAAACGCCTCCCACCTTCTCCCATTTCAAAGGAAAAGGAGAGGGTGAAGAAAGGCTAATCATCTAGTCTAAGTCCAAACGGCCACTAGGCACGCGGCTGGTGATTCAAAAAACAGTCAAAACAATGAATGGCGCTACAAGGAGCACGCGCAATAATCCAATCAATAGCCTATGCAGTCATTGCAGTGGTATCCAAAACTTGACTCCACATCAAAAATTTATCAAGTCATGCGGGTAGATACTAAAGAGTATCTTGTAGACCACGTGCTTGATCTTAGCAACCACATCTTCTTCAGTCTTTTTTCCTTCATCAAATCTTGTCTCATTCCTTGCATGCCAAATATAATAGGTCGTGGCACAGAAGGCAAGCCTCCCTGCCTTGGCTTTCACCGTTGCTCCTTTGCGCGTCTTGGAAATCCATTTGATTGCACTAAGGAGCGTGGTCATCTGATGCCCAAACCCAATCCATGCTCGAACCCTTTCCCATACCCTGCACGTAAAGGGGCAAAGGAAGAACAGGTGTGGAATTGTTTCCAATCCACCCTTGCACAGATCACATCTATTTACTATATGTAGGTAACCGAGGCTATCCTGCGTAGGAAGTCGGTTCCTCAAAGCCAACCATACATTAAATGAAAATTTGGGCGGGATGTAGGATTTCCAAATGAAGCTCATCGGGGTCCTAGGGGTCCCTTTTACTCTAAGGAGATCATACACTTTCCCCGACACTAATTTGTCATTAAGGCATCGCGCATTAAGACCCATCAGTGTATCATTCAAGTTGTTAAAGCACCTACGAATTTTGTCCCGGATTAGACCCAATCTTTTCATAAGTTGTGAGTCCCGATCGTGTGGGACAAAATCCCACACACTTTTACCTTGGAGGTATACGCCATTAACCCACCGAACCCAAAGGGTATCCTTCTTTCTGTGGACATCCCAAAGTGTACGAGAAAGGAGGCTATCATTCCATACTCTAGCATTATGAATGCCGAGACCTCCTTCCTCTTTCGGGAGACAAATGTCGTCCCATGCTACCTTAGCATATTTGCCCCCCCATAAAAAAATTCTACAAATAGACACTATCCTATCTAAAATGGTTTGAGGAACCGGAAATATTTGGAGCCAAAACGATTGGACCCCTTGGATCACAGACCGAATTAGCTCAATTTTGCCGGCATAGGAAAGCGTCTTCGTATTCCAAGCTTTTAAGAAATCGTTGACCATATCAAGTAAAGGTGCATATTGTGCAACCGAAATCTTTTTTTGTACAAGATAAGCGGACTAATAATTAGGCGGAAAAAGTTTCTATCTCATATGCAGTGCTTTTAATTATAAGAAGATAAGCGAACTAATAATTGTGAATGATAAGCGAACTAATAATTGAGCGAGAGAATTTTTTGTCTCATATGTAATACTTTTTAGGTATACAATAAGCGGACTCATAGTTGAGAAAGAGAACTTTCTCAATCATGTGTAATGTTTTTTTTGTACAAAATAAGCGGACTAATAATTGAGCGGGAAAAGTTTCTATCTCATATGCAACGCTTTTAATTATAAGAAGATAAGTGGACTAATAATTGAGGGAGAGAATTTTCTTTCTCACATAGTCACATGTGTTTTTTTATGTATAAGATAAGAGAACTAATAATTGAGCAGAAGAATTTCACTCTCACATGTAGTGCTTTAAGTACAAGATAAGTGGACTACTAATTGAGCGGAAAAATTTTCTCTCTCATACATAGTGATTTTAGGTATAAGAAGATAAACGTAGTAATAACTAAGCGGAATTTTTCATCTCATGTGTAGTGCTTTTAGGTATAATAAATAAAATAAGCGGGAAAATTGCCCTCATATTAGTGCTTTAGGTATAAGATAAGCAAATTAATAATTGATCAGGAGAATTTCCTTTTTTATATTTTCTGATTTTTCTCTGTCATATCCTTTTGAACTTATGGGAAGACACTTTCCTATCATTGTCATATATGTAATATGTTATGAAAATCAATAAATATCTATCTCTAAACTTAATAAAAATATAAAGCTTTATATATGTGGCATTATCAAGGATGAAAACATGAAATGATTATTTTAATACATGATTAGGAAATAAAATCATTAGACGTTATCAAGTTCTCTTTAAGGTAGTTTTCAAAACTCGGACAATTAAGTTCAATATATTTCATTATCCGTTACAAACACTAACAATATTATTACGTAGCAAATTTTAATGGATGGTGTCAATTTTTTTACTTTAATTTTGTTTTACTTTAAATATTTGTTCTACGAGTTTATATTTTTTCATATTCACTTATTTTAATCCATTTTTAAAACGATGTAAAATTGAAAAAAAAATGCATATTTTATCAAATCGTGAACAACATATATATGGACCAACTGTTTTTCTCGTGTGTATGCACGGGTACTGTGCTAGTTTATTCTAAAAAGAAAAAGAAAAAACATACGTGCTACGCTAAACAAGAAGTATTTTTTTAACTACTTGATTAGATGCATCTAATCAAGTAGTTTGAAATATTCACCGCTGCCAAAGATATATAAAAACAACTTACATGTTGCGTGGTAACACTAAAATTGGCTGAACGGGCTGATTCTGTTGATATATATGAAGTTCTGGATGGAGTGGCTAAATTGACTGATTCTGCTGATTTATATAAAAAAAATAAAATATTTTTTATGAATAAAATAAAGAAAAAATTATATAAAAATAGCTAAAATGATCCTCAAAAGTAGCTTCAACCAATACAGTTAGAAAAGTAACTCTAACCTTACTTTTTTTTTATTACAAATTCAACGTACGAAATCAAAAGCTAAATGTTTGGGGAAAAAGTTGACTGATAAGCCTGATAAATCGAAAAATAGGGCCATTAAAGAGGCTCTTAATGCATGAGGCATAACTTTGGACAATACAATTAAGTACGTTATGATTGAATAGTACTGCATATCAATATAGCACTCGCATAGCAACTCCAATGTAAGGGTGTGGTCTCTTACACACCATTACACATGAGTCCCATTTTTTATCTCACAAATTTTATGTGTAGGACCCACATATTTCCTAATATATTTTCATTTTTTGAATACCACTTTTAACTCACTTTTCATCTTCGAATCTTATGTTGTCATAGACCCAGGTCTACTTTGTAACTCTATCACTCTCTCATTTTTTTCATTTTCCCCTATGGCGCATCTACAATCCACCCTCCCACTGCCCACTGGAGATGCTCTCATTTCAATTCAAGAGTATTGACCTTTAATACCCCTGTGTAACAAATATGGAGTATTATTGTATTATAAGAAAAATATTATAGGTACCCCCATTTTGGTACCCATTTGTACTCACCATATTGTGTAGGGCTGGATTCGGGCCGGGCCGGGTCCGGGTCAGGCCTAGGCCCGGCGCGGGCCGCCGGTTCTGAATGGGTGGGCCCGGTACCGGCCCGGGTAGCCACCGGGTCCGGGCCGGGCCTCGGGTCATTTTTTTCCCCTTTTCCTAATTAACCCCCCACCCCCAATCCCCAAACCACCCCAAATGGCCCAAAATACTCAGCCCAATCCGAAAAGTTAAAAAAATTGAAAAAATTAAATAAATTAAAAAGCCCGGAACCGGGCCCAAACCGGCCGGGCCGGTTCGGCTTTTGGGTGACCCGAGCCAGCCCGCACCGGGAACCCCCGGACCAGGCCTACCCGGACCGGTCACTGGCCGGGCCACCGCGCCGGTTCAGCACAGTACCGGTCCCGGGCCGGTTCCGGGTCGGGCCACCCGGCCCGAGTCCAGGACTACTATTGTGTGGCTTAAATGAGACAATTCTTTTAAGTGAACTATACAATAGATAAAGTATAAATGGGTAGTCCAAAATGAGTTACACCAAACATAGCACATACTATAATACGTTATTTAAAGCTTAATTAATTTAACACACTAAAATTTTGGGCGGCCAGACTTCAATTACGCATGCTACTTACGAGTATTACTTACTGGAGTTACTGGCTATTGAGCTCTCCAAAATTAGGGAAGTGCCAAGTATGACTGCTCTTTATCTTACGGGTGTGTTCATTTTTGGCAGACTCCTCTATACGGCTCGGCTTCATTTTTGGCGCTAACTTCTTGAGGAAGTTTTCTTCTCTGATAACTCCACGCCTTTCCCTCTCCCTGACCCTTCACCTTCCACAATCTTATAAGCTTCTCTAGAAAGCTAATCCGGATTAGTTTTCTTCGACCCTGTTGATTTCAGGCTTTCAGCCGTGTCGATATACATCCCTCTGCAAGGTATTATTTCTTTCAACATCCCTTTTTTCTGGAATTTCCTTCTGATTGTGCGAAAGTGGATATCCATTTGTTCATTTCTAATGACGTTGAACAGGAAGCTATTTGAAGTAGAAGTAGTTTAAACGGAATATCTGCAATCGATTTTGTGGCGTAATGTTGTTATCTCTCTGCTAACTATGTAGTATGATTTAACGCATTTGATCCGTGAAGTAGCTTCCTGGATAATATAAAATCAAGAGACCAGAAACAAAATCCATTCAATTCATTCCAGCGTGAATACTTTTGTACCATATCAGATGCTTCACACTAAATAGATTGTGTGGCACAGTACATGATGGTGGACTAAAACCTTAACAGTTCTGAGTCCTATAATTTGAGAGTTCCTTCTCTTCCATTGAACACATGAACAATCATTTTTAGTACCATTGTTAATCTGCATTTCTTTTTCTACCCTTTAAATATGCTGGAAAATTAAGAGAATACTAGTGAAACAGTTCTAGTAATTTATGGATGTTTTTTTGCTTTAAACTGCACTAAGAGCCTTATGGTTTTAATACATTGTAAAAGAACTTAAGGCCTAATTATGTTTACTTATGAAATCATTTTAGATGCTAGAATCACCCAAACACTAAACTGAACTTTGGCGACCCTTCTCCTAAATAATACGTAGTAGAATTTATAAAATGGTGATTGCATTTAAATTATAATGGGTATAATTTCATTGCTAGAGCCTTCTATATTCCTCTTCATTTATGCATTTGTTTGATGCTTTTTCTTTGTATTTCACTTACATATGTCTGTCTCTATAGGTGTAATTACTTCTAGCTCTGGTGCAATGGCGACTAACTTCTCATTTTCTACCCCTTCATCATCTTCCTCACCCTTCTCCTGCATTTCAAACCCCTTTGCCACCTCCACCAAATCGTCCTTCTCCCCATTTGGGATTTCTAGCATCCATACTCCACCCACCACCTCATTGTTTGGAGGTGGTAGCACTATTGCTGCTCCCATGTATTCTTTTGGTACTACCTTGCCACTTGGAAATGAAAATGTTCATGCTTCACCCGTGTTTGGAGTTTCTCGAGATCCAGGTAACACCTATAGTTCCCAAATGTCTGGAACCACATCTTCTTCTTCTGGAAGGAAAACTAAGACAAGGAGAAGACGAAGAGTTTTGCCTTTTGATAACTCTACCCTTCATGCGTCTTCCTCAGGTTCATATAATTTAAACTCTGGGACCACTGGATCATTATCCTCATGCTCAATAGCTGTTGCTGCATCACCATTTGGGTTACCAGCTGTAGCTTTTGGAGCACCATCGCTTTCATCAACCTCTGCATCATCCTTTTCCCCAGCTTCAAGCTCAACTTTTTTTACATCTGGTTTTATGTTTCCCACCATATCAACTGCCACCTCAGCACCATCCTCCCTTCCATATTCGTTCCCAAGTGTTTCAACTACAAGCATTGTGTCTTCATTTTCGCAGGGTATCGAAAATGCTTCAACAACTCCTGTTTCATCCGTCACAACTCCAAATGTGACATCATCATCTTCAGATATGGCTATCGTGACAGTTCCACTCAGTGGTATAGATTCAAAGCCTGCTGAGTTAGGCATTGCAACTCTTTCATTGCCCCATTTTCCAATAGTAACTGCAACAACCAGCGCTTCAATTCAGGCTTGTAGTTTAGCATCTTCTGCTGTTGCAGCCTCAGCTGCTACTCCAGCTGCTATTTTTGGGCCCAGTAACACCAGTACTGGTACATTTAATGTTTGTACTAGCATATTTTCAATCTCTTCAAAGGCGCCATCAATTTCTCCTACTTCACAACAGATGCCAACAACTTCATTACCAACACTTGGTGAGTTCTTGGGTAGTAAGTTAGTCTGGGATATATTGGTGTCATCTCACTAACATGCAATTATTTGATCTGTCCATACTTCTCTTTACAAACTAAATCTACTTGTATATAATATCATTTGTCTAGATACCAGGTCTATGTGCCTATAGTTTTGTACTGCTGACACTGACCTTGTTCTTGTACTTTTGCAGCTATGGTTTCCAGAAGGGAGAGATTGCGAAAAATGAATGAGGAGCTAGCTAGCCTTACAAATGATACACTTGAGCATCGGGGGCATCGTGCTATGGCCGAGGTAATATTAAATACATGATCCTTTTCTCCCTTTTGTATGCATCTAACACATTCGTTGCAGGCCGTGTTGGTCACTTCTGAGATAATCCGGCGGAAGGATGAGCAGGTGCGGGAGCTGCAGAAGGCCTTGGCCATTGAGCAGGGAAAGCGAAACAAAATGGTGAAGGACATGGAGGCACTGAAAGATGCCCATGCTGCCGAGATAGCTTACAAGAATGAGTGTCATGTCAGGGCATTGAATGCAGCCATTGACGCATACAAAGAGTCCTCTGAGTTTGAGGCTGAACGGAAAGCATACATCAAGGCTCATTTGAATGAGATCGGTGAGGAGTTTCTAGCCACTCCGTTAGGAGAAGAAAAGGTAACCCAAGAGAGCCTTATTGCGTATCAGGCGGGGCTATATGATATGCAACAGAAGATCTATCCCAAATTGAGGGACAAGTTTGATGACTTTGATGTGAATGGTTGGGGGTTGCCCAAAGAGATGATCGACCCTGAGGCTTTGGTTGCTACGCAGCAGAACAATGTTGCTATTCTTGGAAGCCTCTCGTCTGATGCTGACCTCACTGTGCCACCTGCTGTTGAAGAGGGGGGCGCCTTAGAGCTGCAGATGGTTGAAGATAATCACCAACCCTTATCTGCCCAGACTGACTCAGACCGCGCTGTGGAATCGGCTGTAGATGGTAGGAGTGTAGGACAAAATATAAGTGAAGCTGACGTATAGTTTAACAATAACGCCTAAAAACTGAAGTGGAAAGCTTTTGATTCAAGATGAAATGAGTGTGCACATCTTAGATATCTTAACATTTGCATCAAATTAACTTCCCCTTAATCTGCCCTGAAGTGAAAATATTTGAACTGCTTGGCTTCATTATTGCATGTTACTCATCTCGTTTCATTTTACTTAGTCTTACTTTCTTTTTCTTATTTTCTATTTTGGGTTATTATACAATAAATGCCAATTTTTATTTGGAAAAAATATATGACCGACAATATTTCACTTTAATTATACTCAAATTTAAATCACAACTTTTATTTTTTAATAATTTTATTTATAATTGTGCCACCCCATGCCAAAACAAGAATATGATTAGGAGTATGACAAGAGGGAGAAAATTACTCCTAGTAATTTTTATTCTTATGATATTATTATACTCTTTCCATCATTTGCAATGGAGCCAAATATTCATTATTTTTTGGCTTGATAATATGATTGAATAAAGCAAAATGACTCACTAAACTGTCTTTTTTTGTTATGAAGCAGTAGTCAGTCTATGCAATTTTGGACGCGATTTTCACTATGGGTCATTCGGAAATAGTCTCTCAGTGCTTTAGTACAGGGGTAAGATTGCGTACATCCGACCCCTCTATCCCACCGTAGGTGGGAGCCTTTGCGGCACTGGGGTAAATGAAAATGAAAATGATGAAATGATATTATTATACTCCTAGTAATTTTTTCTTAATAACCAAAATAAGAACTAATCTCTTAGGACATGTTTACTTCACCGGTTATTAAACGGTGCTTATTAAGACCCGTGTTAATAAGCGGCGCATAAAATAAACAATGTTGTAAGACCGTGTTTACTTCAAACGGTTTAAAACACCGCTTAACATTAAAATGTCCAAAATAACCCTATACATATATATACACACAAACATTCATGAACACAAGTATATAATATAATATGTGTACCCATACCCCTAACCCCTTACCCACCCTACCTTACCCCGACCCCACCCACCGCCTACCCCTACCCCCTACCCCTACCCTACCTACCTGACCCCACCCTACCTACCCGACCCTACCCCTACCCGACCCCACCCTAACCTGTCCCCACCCTACCACAACCCTACCCCCGACCCCATAGGCCCCTACCCCCATAGGCCCTTACCACATCGACCCCACCCCGACCCCACCTTACCCCAACCCCGCCCCTACCCCTACCCTACCCAACGGTAGTGGTAGGGTGGGTTCCGGTAGGTAGGGTGGGGGTTGAGGCGGGGTAGGGTAGGGGTAGGGTCGGATAGGGTAGGGTGGGGTCGGGTATGTGGGTAAGGGGTGGGCTAGGTAGGGTAAGGGTAGGTGTGTGGTCGGGTAAGTAGGGTAGGGGTGGGATTGGGTAGGTAGGGTAGTGGTAGGGTGGGGTCGGGTAGGGGTAGGACGGGGTAGGGTTGGGTTGGGTCAGGGTAGGGGTAGGGGTAAGGTGGGGTCGGGTAGGTGGGGTAAGGGTAGGGGTGGGGTCGGGGTAAGGGTAGTGTAGGTGGGGTAAGGGTAGGGTGGGGGTCAGTTAGGTAGGGTAGGGGGTGTCTGGTAATGGGGTAGGGTAGGGGTAAGGTGGGGGGTACGTGTAGGGTGGGGTCGGACAGGTAAGGTAGGGCTAGGGTGGGGTCGGGGTAGTGGTAGGGGGGGTCGGGTAGGTAGGGGTAGGGTCGGGGTAGGTAAGGGTATGGTGGGGGTCGGTTAGGTATGGTGGGGTCGGGGTGGGGTAGGGTAGGTGGGGTGGGGTCGGGGGTAGGGTCAGGGTAGGTGGGGTAAGGGTAGGGTGGGGTCGGGGTAGGGTGGGGTTGGGGTCGAGGTGGGGCAGGGATAACAATAGGTTAAGGGCAAGGGGTAAATTCGGAAACTGAAAAAGCTTAAAGTGCCGCTTAATTAATACATGGGGGGTGGTATGCTTAATAAGCGGCACTTTAAGCACCTCTTTCGGTTAGTAAGCGGCTTTTTAAGCAGTGTGCGTGTTTACTTCACCTGTCTTACTAACCTAACTGTGACTTTAGCAGTGAAGTAAACACCTCCTTAAAGTTATATGGAGAAAATTATTAGGAGTATGACAAAATGGAGATGATGATTCCTAAAATATGACTAAATAGCTTTTTATTCCTAAATTACTATGGTATGTGTTTTGATCATACTTTCTCTCTTGAGTTCAATTATTACTCGTATAGAGTCATATTTAAGTTTGCTCGTTATGTGTTTGGAATGTATGAATGCCTTAATCACATTTAAGTAAATTTCCCAATTATAAAAGGTCGTGTTTGGTTGTTAAAATATTAAAACTACTTAACATTTAATATTTTTATACATTGTATTTATGATATTGTTTTAATTGTTGAGTGTTGACACCACTGATATTACAGTCAAACTCTATCCTTGATAGAACTAGAACCCTTTAGCCTTTACTATGTACATTGTGAATGTAAAACATTGCACCCAGTAACACCGTGTAACATGTGAAAGGTAGCATTGCATTATGAATGTATCATGTTGCACCTTGCACAAGTGGAACATATACCTTGTGAAAGTAGCACTTTGCACCCTGGTAATAGCATGCACTAAATATAAATATAATAAGTTCTTATAGAACAACGCGTAGCACCACGTTTTGATCGCACCGACAAGGTGACGGAATTATATTGCCGTCATTGCATACCCATTGTCTAACAATCCCCCAAGCACTTGTCAACCTTAACCGCGTAGCATGTTGTTGCCGGCGGTCGAACCCGTAACCTATGTTCTAATAGTATAGCACACCTTTCCATAGGCGTAACGCCACGTTTTGATTGCATCGTCAAGCTCGAAAAAATGCTAGCATGCATCACATACATGTGCCGTGACCCAACACTAACCATGTGTGGCATACACCCCATCTTCAGACAATCAGACTTGCCCGCGTGTGATCGAGTTCAATGTCTTGAGCTAAATAGCGGGCCAGTATTTATACCATGAATTATGCATGCTATGTGATTAAATTTCAATCATTGTGATATATTTATTCTTTTTGAAAACGATTAAGACAATTTTGAATATGATAACTTTTTTAATACTATCGTATGATATAAATTGTATAGACCTTCAGGAATATTCTAGAGAAATTTATTTTTTAGAGAAGTATGGAACCTCCTTGAATATCATGAAAGTGTATAGAAAAATGCAAATACGCTTTTATTGAGTTTTTTGTTTGAGAAATGCTTTTATTGAGTTAAACAAGATAACATATACCCCTCCGTCCCAAATTATTTTGCAAAGTCAACATTTTTTGGTCAACCAATAATAAAAGTCAATGCCCCGTATCGGTAATTAATTCAATTTTTAATAATTAAAATTTACATATTTAGAAACTACATTAAAATTTCTTCAAAGTTGCAAACTCCAAATTATAATATAATTAAAAATTTACATCCTAATTAAGCGGATAAAATGAAACTGTTTGACCAAGAAAAGTCAAATTTTCAAATCAATTTGGGACGAAGGTAGTATACTATTGCCTATACCTGTCAAGCTCCTCCATCTTTCTAGGAGCCAAGTGTAAAGATATGCGAGGGTTAGAGTTCTACTCCCGTATATGGTAGTTGACTGACTTCAAACACAAAGAACAACTTCAAGTATTCCAAAGCTCGCGATGAACATTTTGAAATTGGAAATTCACGTAAGATATCAATGAGACTTTTGTTTTGTTATGTGACAGAAATGTTGAATGTTATGATGTTGATTTAGAAAACTAGAAAAAATGATACAAAAACTTGTTGATAGCCTCATCCGCTGAAAAAGTTCTATGCATAATGCATTGTAATAGGTTTTAAAGAAATATGTTCTCTGTAGAGACAGAGAAACCCTAGTGGTCGTCTCCCCTCTTTGTAGGGGTTGAGATTTTATGCTGCCCCTATCCATATGGGGTTGGAGCGACAGATTGTGATGATTTTAAGTGTTCTAATGTTCCGGATTGCAACTACATCGGATGAGATAACGTTGGCAGATGAACGATGTGTGGCTTGGAGGTTGTATCAAGGCGGGATCGTGAAGCCCATGTCGATCAATCCGACAGTGGTGAAGTTTGTATTCATCCATATTGTAAGAGCTCGTCCTCCTCCGGAGCCACCTCCATACCAGAAAGAGCTTTGTGGAAGGATTTTATTTCAGTATTATTTTCTCTTTAGTAAGACTGGTTTCTGTTTTAGTCTGAATGGATTTGCTTTGAATGTTTGGATTTTTGGAGTTGTTTTGATAGGTAGGGTTTCGCTTCCGATCATTTTAGGCCTAAATTTGCCATTTCAAGTTTAACGAGTCATGTTGCTAGGGTTCACGATTGGATCTGTAATTTCTGTCTGAAGGTTGTCTTGTATGTGTTCTCAATTTTAATATAACGGCCGCTCTTTTATGATCAAAAAAAGAAATATAAAATTTTCTGAAACATTATAGAAGAGTACATATAAATATTAGATCCAGGGGCGGGGCGAGGACATTGGACTAAATGGGCCGATACAAAGAATAGTTTTGAAAAAAGATTACACATAATTTTTTACCTTAAAAATTAAAACATTTTTTAAATTTGGGGTGAGTCAAGACCTAGGCCGGCCCCGTCTAGCTTCGCCACTGATTGGATCTAAAAGAGTATAGAAGAATAAAGACTGGAGTAGGGTGTGTAGAAATTTTTATCCTTTTTAGATAAAAGGAGTCCATAATTCTAAAGAGGTAAACGCTTGTACCCAATTGATAACTCAAAGCATTCACTACATAAGTAGGGGTGTAAACATTCATTCTCAAGCACTTCAAGATATGTAGAAATCAATGATCATGTTTGAATGAGGCACCAAAATAGGACATTTTTGTAACACACGAACTTCCAGTCTAATTGTTCTTTTGCATAGTGTGAAAATAATCACCCCATAGTTTGTTTGTTTTAGTCATAAGTTTTACAGTGGAGTCAATCCACCATGTTGGTTATGTCCACACTCTAGGTATTGATCATTCACTTCTCTAGAAATGGTCTTAATAATCTTCTTATGTTTGTTTAAACAAAATTTAGAGTCAAAACATTTTTACTTAGGTTCAACTAAAGGATGTGTATTTATTCTATTCCCACCTTCTTGATTAATCCCCCCCACACCTTTTTATTCTTTGATTTGGGATATAAATTGTTGGGAAAAAGGGTCAAATAGACCCTTGTACTTACATAAAAAGGTCAAATAACCCCTTATATAGGAGACTCAGTCCGGTCGTCGTCATTTGGGGAGGTTCCCGGTGAAATTTTTTGATGATTTTTTGAGCGTCTTATTCATTAAGTTTAGTTTACTCATACCAAATTTAAGCTAAAAATTCAATCACGAAGACTTTCAAATAAACTCTTGAAGATAATTGCGTAGTTAAAGAGCACGGTTATCTTCAAGGGTTATTTGACCTTTTTATGTAAGTACAAGAGCCTATTTGACCCTTTTCCCTAAATTATTTATAAAATTCAAATTATGTGATTATAATTGAATTAAACTTGTATAATGTAATTTCTAAATATTTGAATTCTAAATAAATATTCTCTCCGTAACAAAAAAATCTTCCCACTTTCTTTTTTTGTCCATAACAAAAAAAACTTTCCATTTCTAATTCTTCCCTTCATAGCCTCAATAATTATGAAAATAATACACTATTACAACTACTTTTTTAAATTTATCCTACATTCCATCATATTATTTCACTATCTTCCCATCATACCCTCAATAATTCATATTATCTTACTCTTTCGTTATTCTACTCTCAATTTACCTACTTTTGAAATAGGAACATATTTAAGTTACGGAGAGAGTACTAATAATAATTGTAGTAAGCCATCTGTTATGTTTAAGTCTAGTCTGGTCTGGTCTGATGTGTTTAAGTCTGGTCTGGTCTGGTAAACGTCTGATCTGGTCTGGTAAACGTCTGGTCTCTGTGTATTTTATAACTACGGAAATCAAGTCTGGTATGATCTGGTCCGTTTAAGTCTCGTCTGGTCAGGTCCGTTTAATTTGATCTGTTCTGAAAACTAGGGGTGGGCATAAAACCCGAACCGAACCGGTACCGAACCGCCCCGTAACGGTACCGAACCACATACCAGATATTTAAACGGTTTTGTAGATTTTTATCCCGAACCGAAACGTACCGTTTGAAACGGGTATGAGACCTGTCCTAGATTTTGAGAACCGAAAAATACCGGACCGAATTGTTAAAAAATAATGAATTTGAATTTTTTTATATTTTTTTTCATACCAATAAATATATTTTATAGACCAACAACTTTATAGCACAAGTATTTATTCATGTGTCCTAAAATAGCTAAATGTGTGTTTTTATATGTATATTGTTATTTTTTTTATAGATAATTTGTGTTATATTTTGGTATGTATTAAAAGAATGTTAAAGTTTTAAAAATCATTAATGACTATTCATTTCTATTAATGTAGTGTATATGATTTTTTTTTGTATCATGTTTGTGCAATTTTATAATTTAATTAATACTACGAATGAATTAAATCTTAGCTCTCATTGTTCAATTATAAATTGAACTACAACAAATATTTAACCCATAAGAAAGAAGAACGTTGAATTTTTCTGTTATATTCAACAATTTGATACTATTATCTTTATATTTTCACTTGAACTTAGTAAATTAAAGGTGATATTTATCTCGTGCACCATCATTTTGTTATACTTTTTCTTAGTTGTGTTGCACTATTTATATACGGATTATTTGTTAATTTCAATACAACATATGCAATTTTTCTTATTTAAATTAATATTTCATGTGAATTGGTTGGTGTGATGATATTTGCTGATTGCAAGATTTGTCCAAATTTTTTAAACATTCTAACTAAACTCCAGGCCTGTACTGCCTCACTCTCACACTTTGAGCTCGCCGCTCTCTTCTTCAGGCCTTCTCCATCACTCTCTTAGCTTTCTCCAACGTTAAAAGCTACGATCCAGGCTTACAGAAAGCTCCCTAATATCAATCTCGGCTCACTATCACCCACCACCGTTCAATTCCAGATTTGTCCGCATAGCTACTCAAACCTTGACTGTGTTCCGTACAAGTCAAACTCAGAGAAGGTAACCCTAACTGTATTCTCTTATTTTTCGTATATAATCTCTTGTGCACCCTTTTCTTGGTTTCTAAAACAGGGTTTATAATTAAAATCGAAATGGTTTTTTAATACTTATTGTAGTATTTTACCCCATGTATTTTCTGAACAAATATAACTTTTTTATACGGATTATTGATTTTTGTTTTTTTGGAAAATTTTAAAATTACATTTAAGGTGTGTGTGTGTGTATCCTTTAAACTTCTTTAGAGTAATTGGTTTGAAGTGTTTTGTGCTTTTATGTTGATTGGTAAGAATTAAATTCAAAGGGTTCTTAGGTGGTGTTAATTCGGCAAAACTTCCCTACTAGTTATAGGGAGCTTCATAGTGTGTTTGTTTGTGCCTTTATGGTGATATGATATCATAGCTTAGCACATGGATCAAGAAGTAGCTGCATCACCTGCGTGATATCACACAACTATATATTCGTAGATATATATTAGTAGATAAATTTTATTACCTTTTGGGCAAAGTCATATATTTGGTTGTCCCATTAAGATTGTCCTATACAAAATTTGGTAAAGTTTGCGTGGTTCTAATAATTCTTACTTTAACTTTATCAATTCAATATCAACCACATCAACTCATTTTTCTTAATAACCGCACCCTCATGCCCCAATGTTAGTGGAACATTTTTTTTTTGTTTTTTTTGTTTCATGCTGTTGATAGCTATGGCCAGGGGCGGACCGTAGTAGAGACCCAGGGGGCAGTGGCCCCTCCAACAACAAAAATATTTAGTGTATATATATACCAAAAAATAATTTTCGCCCTCCCATTTTTTTTTTAAGTTATCGCCCTCCCATGATAAACTTCCTGGGTCCGCCCCTGGCTATGGCAAAGTGGCTCATTGCCACGATTATTGCCAAAGGACATGGCAACTATGAAGCAAAGTGAGAAAGAACAGCCTTAGTTTGACATACTTCATGTACAAATTTAACTATGCTAAGTTGCGGTAGGAAGGGAAAAACTGAATCCATGCACCAAAAGAATTTTCCCTACATTGGTCCTGATGATTCATTTATCAAGTGCAATGCTCTACATATTAAGTCTCGAAGAACTGAGGAAGGGTCGGGGATAAAAAATATTTACTAATTATTTGTTGATGGATATATATTTTTGCTTTTTCAGTGTTGCTTGGATATAGGAACTTTCCTTTTCAATTTATTTATCTTAGATATGTGTTGTGTTTCCACTTTAGGAGAATATTTAATGTGGAATGTGTTTCCTCTCATTGATGGTATAATATTTTTTGCAGGTGTGTTGACTTCTAGTTCGAGTGCAATGGCAACAGCCTTCTCTTTTTCCACCCCTTCATCATCTTCCTCACCCTTCTCTTTCACCTCAAATGCCAGTGCCACCTCCACCACTTCTTCCTCCTCTCCATTTGGGATCTCTTTTTCAAACTCTACCTTTGGTACTTCATCCACTACCCCATCGTTTGGTAGCAGCTCTGCTGCTCCCTTATTTTCTTTTGGCTCTTCCACCACCACAACTTCATCTGGCACTACAGGTAGTACTTTGCCATTCGGATCTGGTGCTTTTAATGCTTCAACCATATTTGGAGCTCCTTTGGGATCTAGTGGAACCACTGGTGTTACTGCTTCAACTGTATTTGGAGCACCTTTGGGTTCTACTGGAACTTCAACCAATATCTTTGGATCTGCTTCTTCCAGCCAGTCTGCAACCACTGGGGTTACTGCTTCAACTGTATTTGGAGCACCTTTGGGTTCTACTGGAACTTCAACCAATATCTTTGGATCTGCTTCTTCCAGCCAGTCTGCAACCTCCTTCAGTTCCCCAATGTTCGGAACAACTTCTCTTTTTGGCACATCTGCACCTTCTGGATCTTCCTCTGGCTCATCAAGTGTGTTCGGTTCAAGTTTGAGCATCGGATCCTCTGCACCATTATCCTCAGGTTCTACATTGCCGTTTGGGTCATCAACTACAACTTTTGGTGCACCATCGGCTTCAGCAACTGCTGCATTTTCCTCATCACCAGCTTCAAGCTCGTCTTCTTCCGCACCTGGTTTTATGTTTCCCACCACATCAACTGGTAGTTCAGCATCATCTTCCTTCCCATCAATTTTCCCCAGTGTTTCGACTACAAGCTTTGTATCTTCAACATCAACAGCTTCATTTTCCAGTGCTGCCACCCCGAGCTTCGGATCTTCTGCGTCACCATTTTCTTTCCTTGCAGCTTCCACCACAAGCTCAGCATCTTCAACACCAGCATTTTCTTTGCCTAATGCTTCCAGTGCTTCTACGTTGAGTTCAATAGCTTCTGCACCCACATTTACAACTCTCACTACTCCTGGCTCCACCTCAACAGGATCTTCTACATTTGCTTCTTCATCACCCTTTCCAACTGCAGGCTCAAAATTTTCATTTTCACAAGGGACTGGAAATGCTTCAACCACAGCAGTTTCTTCTGTCACAACTCCCAGTTTGACACCATCTTCTTCAAGTATACCTGCCTTTTCATTTGGGACCTCATCCAGTTTTCAATCATCCAGCTCAATGGCTTCTTCCTTGAATGGTATAACTGGTGTATCTTCAAAGCCTGCTGAATTAGGCCTTAAAACTGCTTCATCATCTCCATTTTCATCAGTTTCTGCAACAACCAGTGCTTCGGTTCTGTCTGGTAGTCTAGCATCTTCTGCTCCTGCTAGCACGACCACTACTGGTTTGTCTTTTACATTTCCTGCTGTTGCAGCCACCTCTTCTGCTTCAGCTTCTACTACAACTGCTGTTTCTGGGTCTAGTAACACCAGTTCTCAAGGATTTTCTGTTTCTACAAGCTCTTTTTCAATGTCTTCAAAAACACCATCAACTACTCCAGCTTCACAACCGCTGTCTACAACTTCAGTAGCTACACCTGGTGAGTTTTGGGTTATAAATTAGTTGGGGTCTAATGATGCTTTTTAAATAATATTATATTGTTGTATTACCAAGAAATATTTTTGCTTGTTCCAACTTTTGCAAACAAATTATTGATGTATACGATGATACATAGTATAAGATGTTGTCCAATACTCCATATAAATCATATATACCTTCTCCGCCCCAATTTAAGCCATTAAGGTTCTTAGTTTGGCTTGTGATAGTTGATTGATGATAAGCTTTACTAAAAAAATACGATAAGCTTTAGGATGTTTTTACTTGGACTGATATTTGCTGGTCTGGTCTAATTTGTTCAAGTCTGGTCTGAACTTTTCTGGTCTGGTAAATGTCTGGTCTCTTTATAACTATGGAAGTCTGGTCTAGTCTGAAGTGGTCAGGTCTGGCCTGTTTAAGTATGGTGTGGTCTGGGAGTGAAAACAGTCTAAGTAATAAACATCCTTACTCACATTTCTTTTGTTTCCTTTTACTTCTGATTAATACTTTTAAGGGCAACTCAATTTGTTATTCACATTGTAACCACTTTATGTAGGCCTGTTTGCATCTAGTTCGAGTGGTTCAACTTCAGTATCCAGCTCTGCTGCTCAAACATCATCAATTGTGGTAGCAACAAGCAGTAGTGGGTTTGTGGCATTCTTCTTACTTGGAATAACATTTCATACTCAAATTGGTAAAACTTAAAATGTTGCAGAAATCATTAGGTTGGACTTTACCTAGGTCTTGAATTTGCATCACCCTACTCAAAGGATGAATTGATGACAGATCAAGAGTATGACATGTCTCATCCAATACTTAACTCAAATGACTAGCCAATCAGGGGAGTATATACAAAAGATTAGTATCACAAATGTATAATACCTCTATAAAACTACTAACGATGGGGGTGCTGTGATCGTCGATTTCCTAACCAGTAGGCAGTAGCAATAATTGATTTCAAACAGAGAGAGCTGTAGTGAATAGGATTTACAACAATGGCTAAGGGCACCTAATGATGATTAATTATCCCATCATGTAAGAAGACCAATTTGAGTTCTTCCATTCATCTTAGAACCTAGAGGATGTCTAGGTGCCCAGGCTGATTTTTGCTGCCATGTGCGTACTGAGGCTTAATTGTATACTATAAGAAAATAAATACTCTTAAGTTTAGGCTTCTCTTCTTATTTTATTGTTTAGAAAATGTTCTTACAAAGTTACAAGTTACAAATTGAGACCTTATCATTTACCTTCTGGTCTGTCACTTTCTACTGTAGGACTACACAGAGTACAGGTACTGCCTCAGGAACATCACCAAAACTACCATCGGAAATCACAGGAAAAACTATAGAGGAGGTAAATAATTAAATATCAAATCAGAATGCTTTTAGTTTAGTTTATTAAATCAGAGAGTGATTATTTCATTTTATCTAATAGTCTAATATGGAATGCTTCAGAGAGTTTGGTTTGCTTCTACTAATTCTATGTTGTTTATTCCTGTGTTGCATTTTTTGCCTCAATGACTCAATGTTGAAGCTATCCCATGAGTTCTGCCTCGTGCTATTTTGTAGAGAGCTGTCTAAATAGAAAATTTATTTGAAGATGAATTTAGTGCAAAAGCATATGTCATATTTATGTGCTATTGTTTTTGTTTCTGGAAGATCATCAAGGAATGGAATGCAGAGCTGCAAGAGCGCACAAAACATTTCCAGAAGCAGGCCAATGCAATAGCTGCATGGGACAAGAGGATACTACAAAACCGTGACATCCTCCTGAAGCTTGAGGTTTTATTTTTTCTTTAAATGCGGTGAATTCGTGCACTTACTGGAATTCCAGATAATATTAGAGTTGATCTGATATACAAGGTCGAGATGCTGATACAATGCACATTAGGAATATGTAAAACATCATCTTTATATCTTCTCATCTCTTTCTTCATTATCAGGCTAGATAATGTATTTTAGTATAATAGGGTGCACTCTTTTGTTGTGAGTTGTGACTTATTTAAGATGGAAAATGTTTTACTTAATATCAGCAATTCGTTTTTGTGTCAGAGTGAAGTCGCAAAGGTTGTTGAGACACAGTCCAGCCTAGAGCGACAGCTGGAGTTAATTGAGACTCATCAAGATGAGGTATGCTAATAGTGAGGTTGTCATCTAATGTACTTCGACGCCCAGTAGTTATCAAATGCATTTAAAATCCATGAAAAATCTGCACAAACATGAAGTCTTTCAATGCTGGAGAAACGTGAGTCATGTATGTATATTAGTGCCACAAATCACCTTCACTGCATTTTTTTGTCAATAGCACTCATTTTTTCATATATATATATATATATACACACACACACACACATATAGACAACTTTTCATGTCCAGCCGGCCTGACGGGAACCGCCGTCCGGCCGAGAGCATTTCGGGCACTTCCCGGTAGAGTTTGTTGATAAATTTTTGTGAGCATGTTCTTCATCAAGTCTAGTTTATCCATACCAAATTTCAGCTAAAAATTCAATCAGGAAGGCAGTCAAATAATTTCTTGAAGATAACTGCGCAGTTTATACATATTTAACTGCTCAGGTTTCTTAAATAATTTATTTAACTGCCTTTTCGATTGAATATTTAGCTGAAATTTGGTATGGATAAACTAGACTTCGGGAGTGTTTGCAATCACTTAAAAAAAAGCACTTCTCAGCTTTTGGCTTAAAAAAGCACTTATTTACCAAACACTACCAATTTTTACTTTTTCTCGGCTTGCGTGTGAAAAGTGTTTTTCCCCTTTCTATTACACAAAAAACCACTTATTTTACCAAACACTATCAACTTTTACTTTTCAAAATCACTTTTTTCTCAAACACTATCAACTTTTCCTACTAATCACTTTTTCCTTACATCTCCAAAAGTGCTTTTTTTTAAGCAGAAACAGTTGCAAACACTCCCTTCATGAAGAACATGCTCAAAAAATTCCACCGGGAAGTGCCTGAAATGCCCTCGGTCGGACGGCGGTTCCCCGTCAGGCCGGCTGGATAGGAAGACTACTCTACATACACACACACATAAATACATACATATATAATTATATATATAGAGGAATGTTCAGGTCTGAACATTCCCCGTCCAAGCACCGTCCGAACATGGACGTTTGGGCCACTTCCCGGTGGAATTTTTTGATGAAATTTTTTAAGCATGTTCTTTATCAAGTCTAGTTTGTCCATACCAAATTTCATCTCAAAATTCGATCTGGAAGGCATTCAAATCATTTTTTGAAGTTGACTGCGTCAAAATATACATACAAAAACGAAGTCAACTTCAAAAAATGATTTGAATGCCTTCCCGATCGAATTTTGAGCTGAAATTTGGTATGGACAAACTAGACTTGATGAGGAACATGCTCAAAAAATTTCATCAAAAAATTCCATCAGGAAGGGCCCCAAACGAGGATGTTCGGACGGAGGCTTCTGTCTGAACGGTTGGACCTGATCATTCTTGTATATATATATATATATATATATATATATATATATATATATATATATATCGGTTACAACCTTCACTGTAAGCATTATAGTTCAAATCACCCATTTGATGCAGCCAAGCTACTCCAAATATGTTTTTGTCCAATTGGAAGGTTGGCGCTAATCGCTATTAAAAAAGCTTAAATGTTCCATCTGCTATTAGGTTGAGAAGGCATTACAGAGTTTGGAAGAAGAAGCTGAGCGGATATATAAGGATGATCGTGAAACACTCCTTGATGATGAAGCTGCATATACAAGAGATGCAATGTGAGTATAGGTCAATGCTTGAAGGCTTGAAGCACAATAGGGGGTATATGCTTATATATCTCCTATAAGCATATAAGCATTTGGAAACCCTTCTTTTACTAGATTTATCATTTATCAAACTTTATACATAGTTTTCCAGCTTTCTGCAATTGGAAACCCTTTTCTTAAGTTAATTTGCATCAGCACAAATCATTAGAGACATATCTATCACTGGCATTTGTTTTAGGTATGAGCAGGCTGAATTCGTAGAGAGAGAAATGGAAAAGATGACGGAGCAGATTAAGTCGATCATTCATTCTCTTAATGCAAACCAGGTGTGTGCCTCCTGTTTAATGGTTTTTCTTCATTTCACATTGTTATATATTATATCATTGGATGATCATATACCTTCATATTGTTAAGGGCGGGGAACCAACGGATGGCATGAATCCACTTGATGTTGTTGTCCGCATTTTGAACAACCAATTGAGTTCCCTGGTCTGGGTTGACGAAAAGGTAAGATCTGTGCAGTGCATGCTTTCTTTATGCTTGCTTTCTCTAGGATTTGTCTTTTTTGTCTTACCCATGAGAGATTGCAAAATTCTGAGTCCATCTTGAGTTGGCATTATTTAAAATCTTCAATAGTTGAAGTGCAATTTGTTGTAGGTCTATCTACTACTGAGTATAAGACTCAGTGAATGTTTGTAAATGCTAACGTACCGACACAAGTGATTCTTCATTTCTTGTTAGGAATAGCAGATAGTTATATTTACTGAACTGCAGAGGTAATCCAAATGAATTTATTTATCCACTATCCTCCATTCTGTCCGTCCATACAGAAATCCATCTGAGTCTATCCATTGAGCAAAGAAACTTATTTATCACTGTCTATTCATAAGGAATTCCATCTGGGGCCTATCAGCTACAATTGTTTAATTGATGCAACCCGATGCAAACCTTTGATGTAAATTCTTCCATTATCCATTTTTTTGTTTGCAAATTCATATATTTGAAAGGGCACTTCGTTTACAAAGCTTGTCTCCTAATCACCAATTTACCATGTAATGATAGTGGTAGTACCTTGATTAGATCTTCAAAGAAAGTTTTGGAAAATCTGCTCTTAACTCATTTCTCCAAAATAAACTCGGATATTTCATGACTATGTGAATATTGCACTTTAAACAATTTAGATTGATATTAAATTACGAAGACAATCAATAATTGGACAGACACAATTTCTCGCTAGTTTCATGATTGAATTGGTGCCAATTTGGGCAAAAGGCCTGAGAAAAATCATTCTAAAATCGATGATTTTAGAATGAGTCATTGTTACTGGTCACTTTGGAACTTTTATACTTCAGGTTCGACAACGCCATCATGTCCTGTTTTTGTATCTATAGTATTGGCTTATGTCTATTTCATCCATTTATACTGTATGGACAATGAGCGATGCACCCATTATTTTTAGGATAATATAGAAAAGTATGTTTCACATACACCTGTCTTGTTGAATTTTAACGTTCTTTAGTGGCTTATTTTTCTAGTGGTTATTACATATGTGCTGAAGCTCATTGTATGTATGTTTTTTTCCTAAATTCATATAAAAATGCATCCAATTCATATTTTTCATTCCTACAGCCTCTGTATTAACAGTTAGGATCCTATTAGGTCATCCAATTTACATGTAACTAATACGAATATTAAAAGAGTTCTGGCTTGCCAAAATGTTGGTCAGTACTTGGTTTGGGTACAGTACGAAATTTGTTATTGCTCTCAATAGCTTGACATGATGTGTACTATTTGAATACAAAATAAAAACTCTAATAGGCTTTCAAGTTTCCGAAACGGTAAATTTGAGCTGTGGGAAGTTCATGTGCTTCTTATCAAAATATTGATGATGATGTGTGAATCAAGGAATTCTCTCATAATGTCTCATTAGTTTTGTTTTTGGCTTTGATTAATTGAAGTAATTCATCTATGTTATACGTTTTGCTGATTAACTTATATAAGCTCTTTGCTAACTGTGCAGGCAGAGGAGCTCTCTTCTCGTATTCAGAAACTTGCAAAGCAAGGCTCTAATGCAGATTCCGGATCTTTGGGACCGCGATTTCTGTTTGGGAAATGAACAGAGTAGATATTTTTTGTAGGGATGTTTATGGCAGTAGAGAAAATGAATCATTTACCTCAATTTAAAGACTTTTTGACAAAGCAGGAAACAGTTTAGGACTCCATAACTTTGAAAACAGGGTAATCAACTTCTAGATGCCATCCAGGTAACAGGCATCATAGCCATTCCTTTTTAAGGATCTGACGTTAGAAGAAAATGATGAATTTAAGAATGGATTATGTTACTCGATTGCTAAGTGACCATGTAATTAGATTTGTATCCACGAGTTCTTTAGTAATACATGCTTGGAATGATTATAAAACTTTATAGGGTACGTAGTATGATTTCTGTAAAAAGGTTTGAAAAAATTCAAACTTAAAATGCTTGCATTCTGACTTAAAATTAAGAATTATGAAATTACCTAGCATATATTAGTGTACCCTAATCACCAGTAAATTTATAGCATTGCCAATTTGCCATCAATTATAAATTTATGTGTGCTCAATCATAGTATTAAAGGGTGGCAAAGCTCATCTAAACGTCAAGACCAAAATATCCCAAATTAAAAGTGTACATCATTCCCTTCTATTATATATTTATCTATAGTTTTGTACGGCGTATAAGACATTAGCACCAATACAAATAGGGAGTTTATCCGTAGGAAGTGCAAAAGCCACAATTAAAGAGAAAGAATGATTGAAAAATAGAACATTGTCAACTAAACTAGAAGGAAGATTAGTGCTGTAACCTTCTGATATATAAGGATTAGTACATTAAAGGCTCCGATGAATAATAGGATCTGTAATGTCAAGGTTTACCCAAAAATAATAAGTGTTTAGTCAAAAATTAGAAAAAACAAGTCAACCTAATTTTATTTTTTCTATTATAATCTCGCCTAACACAGTGCGTCACATAAACAAACACACACATTTGATAATTTTTTAAATTAAAAAATAAAAAAACATTCAACCTATTGTTTACATTTATATTATAAGCTCGCCTAAGACACTCAAATAAACAAACATATATTTGATACAACAACATCCAAGCCTTAGTCCCAAATGATATTGGGGTCGGCTAACATGAATTGATACATGATATCACCAAAAGGAAAAGAAAGAAAATAAAGATAAAAAAGATAAGCTATTATAAAAAAGATAATATAAAAGAGATGAATATACATATAAAAGATAAAATAAAAAGGATAAAGTAATATTTATATATAAGGATAAAAATATAAAAGAAAAAGAAAAAGAAGAAGAGAAAAAAGAGGGGAAAAAGATATACAAGATCACTCCTCCACACGAATACTCGCCCTCCATTTTGCTCTCTCCAAA